GTGTGATCCCCACCTACATACGCCACTTCCACCCCTTTGTTCGTTAGATATTTGGATTATATTGTGATGTCATAACTGAATTTCTCATTACGCCATAAGGGGAAGTAATCCTTGTGTAAAAAGGTTAAATTCATTTTCTCATACATTTTTTGTTAAAAAACAAACCAACTTTTTTTTACATTTTATTACAATATCAATATTTAGAACAGTTTATAAATTGGCCATAACATAAACAAAAATCACATATTAGTACGACAGGAAGATAAAAAATTCTTGATTTTTAGCTCATTGGTGATTTCTTTGATTTTTCATGTAACAATTACCTCATAGTAATAACGATAATAAACTCTATATTTTACATTTATCATAAATAACTCTATTACAACAAAGTGACATGGTCCTATCTAACATTCAACCCATGGGGACAAACATAGACTCTTTATTTTACATGGGTCAGAATTAGACCCAATACACCAAGGTGACATGGTCCTGTCTAACATTCAACCCATGGGGACAAACATAGACTCTTTATTTTACATGGGTCAGAATTAGACCCAATACACCAAGGTGACATGGTCCTGTCTAACATTCAACCCATGGGGACAAACATAGACTCTTTATTTTACATGGGCTAGAATTAGATCCAATACACCAAGGTGACATGGTCCTGTCTAACATTCAACCCATGGAGACAAACATAGACTCTTTATTTTACATGGGTCAGAATTAACTCTATTACACCAAAGTGACATGGTCCTGTCTAACATTCAACCCATGGAGACAAACATAGACTCTTTATTTTACATGGGTCAGAATTAACTCTATTACACCAAAGTGACATGGTCATGTCTAACATTCAACCCATGGGGACAAACATAGACTCTTTATTTTACATGGGTCAGAATTAACTCTATTACACCAAAGTGACATGGTCCTGTCTAACATTCAACCCATGGGGACAAACATAGACTCTTTATTTTACATGGGTCAGAATTAACTCTATTACACCAAAGTGACATGGTCCTGTCTAACATTCAACCCATGGAGACAAACATAGACTCTTTATTTTACATGGGTCAGAATTAGACCCAATACACCAAAGTGACATGGTCCTGTCTAACATTCAGTCCATGGGGACAAACATAGTTCTAACGTATAATATGAAAAAATAATTCATATATTTATTCACAATATTTTGATTAACAATTCGTTAAAATATAAATAAATTAAATGTGTTTGGGATGAACAGATTTTTATATTATAATAGTATAGCAAGACAAGCTGCATCGTGTCCAAACCACACCCCCATTCGGCATACTTCATACATAGCTAATAAGATTTGTCAAAACCCGTATTCGGGATACGATGGACAAGTTGTAGACACTTACTACTAAAAGCTATAA